TAATCCTGGGTTTTATAGCCAGTAATTGATGTGTACAGTGCTTCATAATGGTGCTGGCAGGAACAGAAGCTTGATTGTTTGCTGATGTCCACTTAGAGCTCCCTAAGCCTTGTCCTGGAAGGTCAGTGCATTAGCAGGTTCTCATGTTATTTCAATAAACTAACTAATTGAGCTTTTGCTCATAGCGTTTACAGTATTTTCACACACTGTGGCCTTACTGAACCATTACTGGACCCCAATTACCTTCCAAAGCAGACATTATTATCCAAACATACATAGTTTGTGTTTATACTGTTTGCAGCTTGACTGACGTGATTCTCCTTAGCGTACAAGTGCAGGTAACTACAGTTCTGTAAGCAGACCTCCACCCACAGCCTGTCACCCTGTAGGGGAGCCTCTGGTCGCCATTCTCCTGGACAGGTGATGTCATCAAAGCGACCGATCCAACCCTGAGTGCATCTATAACTTCACACCTTATCTGGAGGTAGCAGAGCTCTTTATGCAAGAGCCAGAGACATAAAAGTTCTTAACTTTCCATTTCCTGTGGGATTTTCCTCAATTTTTCCACAATCCCAGTGACGGACCAACAATTCTTAAATAATCCTTAAAATTTTGTATGTTGACATTTTGTGATGACCTGTTTCTGCTTGAACTGACCCCAAATGACACCTTTGTATACAAACAGGTACAGTATACAGAAAACCTTAAACACACCTCCGTGTTATTAGGTACACTTGGGTAGTACCTGGTAAGATCCACTTTTGCCTCCAGAGTTGCTTCAAGGGTAGATGAGTTGTGTGTTCAGAGAAACCCTTCTGAACACCACTGTTGTAATGAGCTGTTATATTTGCATTTGTGGCCTTCCTGTTAGCTTTAACGAGTCTGGCCAGCTTCTTCTCGTAGTAACAATGTGTTTTTGGTCACAGAAAAGTCAGAAAAGAAAATAACTGGATGTCTTATGTGTTAGATTCCCTCGTTGTAGGAGGTGAAATGGACTGCTGCTCCTAACACTCAGTCCTGGGTCAGCCTTACTTGTCCTCTGAGGTGGTTCTGAAATGCCTCTGTTGGCTAGCAGGTTTACATAGGGCTTCACGAATGCTGTGCAAAACCCACCCCTTTTGGACCATGTGATGTGTGCAACCAATAGGAAATATGTAGTAATAAAATATGCACACCTCCCATGAGCACTGCAGTCTACCACAGTATGCATGCATGTAGATATGGGCAAGGGAGATACAGGTCAAGATGAAGCTAAAATGCTTCAAATGGGTTCTGGTTTGAAGCTCAGGAAAAGTTGCATTTCGAAGAACTGTCAGCACCTAAATGAGCTGTAGAAACAGGAAATGTGTACCACCACTGGCTATATAAGATCCTTTTAGATAAATTATATGAATGCTGCCTTTAGTAGTGGCCTGGCATATGGCTTGTGAGATGAGTTATTTTAAGAGTGTTAAGTGTGCTTGGGACCAGGTGAAAACAGAGTTCACCTGGAATGAGGATGAATATCATAAATAATAATGGCCCGGACACTCTGAGCTCTTCACTTTAAACATTAGTTATGTCCATTGTAAATAGCAGCCAAAGCTGAAGAAGTGAACTGGAACCACATTTCTGGTACTGAAATGCTTCCCTTGCTGTTCAACATCGATTGTTCATTAGTCTCATAATGCATCAGAAGCAAAACATCTGGCAATGGACAGATCGATAGAATTAAAGGGTGACTGTCATGGGAAAGAAGTGCGATTTGTTCCTTGTCTGCAGTAACTAATTAACATCTTATTACTAATTAATAAACATCTCATTACTGGCACTACAGGGGCTTAGAATTGATGTATTGTTTAAGAGGTGCTTTTAAGCTGTACCACTGTCTTAAACTGAGGCCCCTGCTGGGCAGTTGGTCAGGTACTAAGAAACAGTGGGCAGACTGACTCAGATCAGGGTTTGAATCTGATCTTTGTGATCTGCCAAAGGTGCCTGAGAGCCCCCTGGTGGCGAAACAAATTCGGTATCCACTTGCCAGCTAAACTATTTCGAATCATTAATATGATGAGTGGTTCCTAAGGCTGTATTGAGAACCCCCCCAGCCATTCCATATATTACACCCCAATGTCAATTCTGGGCCTAAATTATCTTATTGGTTTAATCTGGGGGTGGAATTAGAGGACTACATGGGATGGTTATGGTTAGTCAAAGAGAGCTTCGGGATTCACCAGTCTAGGTTATCTATGGTGGAGTGGCATCCCATCCAAGGTGTTCCTCTGCCCTCTGTTTGTGTCTCCTGGGATAGGCTCTGGATAAGCATGTATCAGTAACAGATGTATGAACCAAGTTAGGCTGGATGCCCACTAATAAGCTTCTTCATTCCCCCATCTAGCATCTGCAAGTGGCTGGTTATAGAGAGCGAGCATCTCGTCATGTTCTCCTACCCAGACTTATGGGTGTGCTGTGAATAAAGCAGGGGTCATCGGTCCCTGGTAGGAGTTTGGCGGAGATGACCAATGACCTGGCCGGAAAATGGCAGAAATAGCTTTATATATTTAAAAAAAAAAAAAAGTTCAGTGGGAATTCCATTTGTGGTGAATCGGCTAACAGGTTCCATAACCCATGTGAATCTCCTGCCCTCTCTATTTAATCCTATAATTGCACAAAAATAACAATAAAAGATATTTAATTTCAATTAAGCACAGCATCTATTTTAAAAAACCTACTTTGTGTATTGGGAAAAATGTATTTGTTTATTTTATTTTTTTTTTTAAAAAGAAAGCTTTATTCGTATCTTTCATTCAACGTAAAGACACTGCTTGAGGGCAAAATGCACGGAAATCAGGAGTAAAGCCACACAGAGAGTGCAGACCCTGGTTTACGCTGGTGGTTTCTGTAGATACGCTGCTGTAAGTGGGCCGTGATGAATAAATAAAGGTGCTGGGATTGTGTTTAAACGGCTCTGCGCCCAGGCCGGTCCGCATCGGTTCCCCGGGAGCCTGCCGGCCCGTGTAACGAGCAGCTGTGCTGGACTTCATGATCTGGGTGGCGGGACGGGGGAATGCTCATTAATTAATTAATGTTTGCGGAAGCTAATCAGGCCAGTAACACTCGCGTGTTTCCTTTCGCTCCGGTGAAAATGTAGGCCGCTGGAGTTCAGCCCGCGGAGCAAGGATTTCGGAAGCCGGCCGCGGCACTGAGCACTGGTGGAGAGTTAGGGTGAGGAGAGGTTTTCTGTTCCCGCCGAGAAAGGAAACAGACATTAAGGCCCAAATCGATCTTGGCCATATCCTGGCGACATCTGCAATCAAATGTGCACATTTCCACAACCTTTTTGCGAGCATTTTCACAATGCAGTTAATTATATGAAATGTTTCAGAATGTTGGACATAGGACGAGCTTGCCGAGAGCTGTCCACTCTCCCATTCCTAGAAACACACAATGTAAGCCGGCAATGGTCAAATGTCAGCAATAAGTGAACAAATGTTTAGTCACTCAACTGGTCTTTATTCAGCTAACAAGCTATGAGCTTCTTATGTGAGAAGAATCGGCTTGGATGTTATTTATTGCGTTACTTAACACTTGGGAGCCACTGCATAGCGTGTGAGCAATTCTGAGTGCTGTAGAAAAAAAAAACTTAGTTTAAGGGCAAGAGTACTTACAACAGGGAAGAGATAAAAATCTAAATAACATTTTTAATTAAATGTGTCAGAAATTGACTTTGCTTAATCCACCTTAAAAAATGGACAGAAATTAATTTGCCTGTAGCACCAGAAGGTGTTCAGTTTGATTCGTCAGCTTCAAATGTCATTTAAAAATGTGTCTGTGATCCGGGCCCCAGTTTTAAAAAGCAGCACCTTTGGCCTCTTTCCCAGCTGTCCTACTGATGAGATACACCTGGTTACCATGAACAGGGGGCATGTCCAAATAAAAAAATGCCATGAGGCAGACAAAGGAGGACTACTGTCAGGTACATTATGCCGCATATTTAGAGTGAGCCACCTACTGGAGTGGAGGTCTCACATCAGCACCTGCAAACAGTAATAGGTTTTTAGTTTAGATTTTCCACATAACTGGAGCAACAGTTTGGAAGAGTCTGTCATAACCCTGATGGGTCAGATGTATGTACAGGTATGCTTAACCAGAACTATACTTTATGGCACATAGCTTGTCTACAAGTTTGTCTTCTTGTGGTCCTGAGCGCCCAACCCCTACTAGAGAACCTGAGAACGGTAGTCCGGCCCTAAGGAAGCTGTAGGGGTTTGGAATAGTGAGGTGTAGCTCTAGCACTGCAGTTAGCCGCACATAGCTATTCCCGGCCCTTCACTGAATTGTAATTCCTAAATGGGGAGCATGTGTTGAATTACTGTGACCGTTCTTAACAAAATATTCTAGTGTTCCTTAATGGAAATACAATTTGACACATTTCTGTCTCAGGCAAGCAGATTTCTATCTCTGCCAACTCCAAACAAGTTTTCTCATGTCTCTCAGCGAAATATCCTACATTCCCAAAACAGGTCTCCTTGGATTTTTTTTTTTTAAATAAGCAAAACGGTTTAAATTAAGCTTCAGAGTGTAAAACTCCAACACAGTGTTAAGGGTTATACACAGACTGGGGGACATATCGGAAGGTGTTTGTTGATAGGCATGCATTTTAGGTCCCAAATGGAAGGCACATAGGGTCTCAGCCAATCAGATGCCTCAAAAAAGCATCTCCATTAGGCTGGATAGTGATCTACAAGGATAGAGAAAAACTGAAAAAGATGGGTAAAACAGAGGGAGAAACTTTTGGAACATATTCAAGGGCGGGGCCACAGGGGCACTGGCCTGAGCTGAAAGCTGACTGGCCCCCGGATTGGCTCCTCCCTGTCACTCAACAACTCAAAACATATCATTGGCTAATGATAAAGTTGGCCCCTCTGTATGAATTATAGCCCCTTTTATGCTCCATACATTAAATCACCTTTGGTTATGAGGTGATGATCATGGGGTCAACGTTGCTACCTTTGCTCCTCCAGTGATGGCTGGGCTGACCGAGACGAGGTGGTGGAGGGATACGAACTGGAGGCGGAGGGCGGCATCACCATGAAGCTGCAGTCGGCCGAGGTCACCTCCTTCAACGACTACTTCCTGAAGCTGCGGCTGGATGCAAATGCCAGGAATCCATGGTTCGGCGAGTTCTGGCAGCACCGCTTCCAGTGCCGGATCCCAGGCCACCCGTCTGAAAACACCAACTACAAGAAGATCTGCTCCGGTAAGATGCCACGGCTTCCCTGGCAGGGCTTGCTGACGTCACATGAGGGACTAGAGGAATGTGTTATGTGCATAGTTTCATGCAGAAGAGCAAGCTGGGCATCACAATGTGAGATCTGGCATTACAGTTCCAGCAGCGTTCTGTTGCTCGGCATACAAGCACATACAGTATAGTAGCAAGGCCTGACATTTCAGCCGCTAGTGGGAACATAACGGTGGGAAAAGTGTAACAGACGTCCCTCCTAGGGCCTGCAAGAGAGAAGCACAGTGTGGGGCCCATTGTGTGCCTCTTTTACCAAGTCATTAGCACTTGTGCAAGGCGTACACAGTTGTGCAAAAGCCCACTTCCTGTTTTCCATTTTTTTTTCCCATTCTCTGTCGACCTCGAAGGTATTTTGCAAATGGAGGCACGCAGACAGACTTCATGTCATGCTTGATTTGTTCAGACACAGGAAAACACTGTCAAGCACACGCCTTTTAGATCACACACAGTCACACGGACACCAAACAAAATTCAAGATTAATCTCTGTTTGTCTGCAGAATTTATATATTTATCCCATAAACACCAATGAGCCAAAACATCATGACTGCCCCCACGTGGCTCAATGCCCTGTGTTGTGACATATTCTCACCATAGCTAACCACGAGCACCCCACAAAACTCGCCGTTTCAGAATGCTCTGACCCAGTCGTCTGGCCATAATGATTTTGCCCTTGTCAAAGTCATTCAGATCTTTATCCCTGTCCATTTCTTCTGCATTAAACATGTCAACTACAAGTATTGAATGTTACCTTACCATCTAATACATCCCAGAGGTTGACACATGCCATTATTTGCTAGATAGTCAACAGAATTCACTTCACACGGGGGTGGTCATAACGTTTTGGGTCATTTGTGTATATGACTTTTCGGTGGTTTTTCCACTATGGATCAAATTCTAACAATGAAGACAAAATACATATAACAGTGAAAAAAAAACACAGGGGGGTCAAGAGGTTTATTTTAGATGCAACCTTATTCCCCTGCATTTTATTTAATTTATTGAGTAGTTTTTTTCACATTTTACATCCTAGTACTGTTATTAACTTTGGTTTTAATGTGATGGAGAAATGCAGACATACCATAAATGCAGTAACAGTACTAGCGGTAATGTAACAACACAATAACGCTAACGTAACAACACCATAACGCTAACGTAACAACACCATAACGCCAACGTAACCGTGATGCTTAGTTCACTGTTCTGTCACTTCTGTTGTTCTCTCACAAAAAGCACCAGGAAGGTAAGTGTTTCTTTCATGTCCTGTAGAGGAATCGTAGAGAGAGCTGATTTAGGTGCACCGGTTTCGGGGTTTGGTCTGGCTGTACACCGAGGGGTGCCAGTGATTCATTCCATTCACAAAGCCCTTGTGATTTAAATTAAACAAATAAATAATACAAACACAAAAAAGTACAAGGAATGTTAGAGAGTACATGCAAATAATATGATCATTAGAAAATGACAATAACATCATGTTCTTATGTTACTGACATTCTTACGTTGTTGAAGTAATTCAACATTTTAACACCATTTGGGATCAAATAGCCCTCCAGCACTGTTTGAATCAGAGCCTTTCCAGTGTTCTGCAGCCCAAAGAGAGTAATGTTAGCCCACATCATTGTGTTGCACACGTATCACCAAAGCACGAGGAGCTTGGATCAGCTGACCTCTCCTGTAGAGCCAGAAATGCCAGTGATGGACAGACAAACGTGTGTGATACGGGGCTTTCCTTGCCAGCCTGCATGCAGCCTGAGCTGATGCACTAACCAGAGGCGTGGGGCGCATGCGCAGTGGCTTCTTGTCTCCCGGGAAACGCAGTAGTGTGATTTCATTGGTCGTTTAATTGGGCATCTATACTCAAATCATCGCTGGGCTCTTAAACTTTTTTTTTATTATTGTTAATCTCTGCAACGCTAAATCAGAAACTGAGAACATAAAGAGGTGAAATGGAGCCCCGCTCCACTCAGAGAGCAGTAAAAAGGGGGCCTCGATTCGGCCCCGCCACCACGGGCATTTGTCCTTTTACTGTGACGCCCCGGTCCGCTGAAGCGCCCTTTCTTCCTGCTCCGTTAGTCTCATCCACTGCTGAGATTAAAGCTGAAAGTGACGTTAACAGGCCGAAATGGATCAAAGGCATGGATAAATGGCACGATGGCCAAATCGGATCAGGGGCCTCAGTAATGGCCGTGACATGTTCAGGGTAACACATCGGAAATCATCCAGTATACCATGGCTGGGTTTGACTGTTATTTTTAAAGGTTCCTGTATTTATGTATTTTGAACATGAAACTTGCTTGCTGATTATGAAACACTTACTAACCGCACTTACTAAACAACAGTGTGTCTGACAGCAAAATGGGAACCCCCTCATCCCTTTGTATCATTGCTGTAAAACGATTGCAAAACAAAACAAAACAGAACAAAACAAAAACGCATGCAAATTTTCTGCCAGAAGCACTGCCCTGTGTGCGTGTCCACTCTGAATGTCATGCTACCTGCGGGTCCGGTGCCTGCTTCCTCCTGCTGTCAGACACGCAGTTGACCAAAGGAGGCCAGTGGCCAGGGGCGACAGGCTTCTGGGAATCTATTACCACTCCTGAGATGTTCCACTTATATTCTGCTGTATAATCATAGGCATTAATAATAAAATGACTCCACTGTCTGTAGCAGACTGCTAGAGAGCAGGAACCAAAGGAATGGGGCTTGCAGGTGATTTAGCGTTGGTTCTATAGGGTTTTCCAAATGGAGAGTGAGCATTCTGCTCTTATGTATGTAATGGAGTAGACCACCTGACCACTGCATTACAGAGAGGTCACGTTATCGGTGTGTGGTCGTTGCCATGGCTTAGCAGTCAAAGAGGGACAAAGACAAACTCTCACAGCACAATATAACGTGGCACAGTGGTTCACCTACAGCACTGTGTAGTGGTAGCTTCTCCTGGCACAGATGGATTCATTCAAGCGTGTGTGTGTGCGTGTGTGTATGTGTGGTTTGTGATGGCCTGCAGGTAACGAGAGTCTGAGCGAGAACTACGTGCAGGACAGCAAGATGGGCTTTGTGATCAACGCCATCTACGCCATGGCGCACGGCCTGCATGACATGCAGCGTTTCTTGTGCCCCGATGGACCGGGCCTGTGCGCTGCCATGAGGCCTCTCGACGGCAGCAAGCTGCTCGACTTCCTGCTCAAGACCACCTTCAATGGCGTGTCCGGCGAGGACGTCTACTTTGATGAGAACGGGGACACGCCCGGCAGGTGAGCCCCTGTACTCCCCTTGCTCCTCCCTTTCTGTTGGGGTATAGCGCCAAGGTCACCCTGGGTCACGTTACACATGTCACTTGTGTCACAAGTCATGTAGAGGTATAGCATATGAATGCAGACCAAATTTCCAGTTCATTTTCTGTTGTTGTTGTTGAGATGAGACCATCAATGACCTTAAGTCTGGCTTCCTCATCATTAGTTACAGTAGGGATATCGTTAGGCCTATGTTAGGGGGGCCCCCTGAAATGTCTTTTAGCCCCCCCAAAATAAATGTGTATTTATTGTCATGAATAGCTTATTACATGTAATAATATCATATACAGTAGTACTGTAGTTAATCCAGACATAATATTGCTTCCCCAAATTCACATTGATGGTTACATTTAGGACCTGGGAGAAGGGGTTGCACTAAACCTGTACAGTGGTACCTTGGAACATGAACTTAAGTCGTTCCAGAAGGCTGTTTGAGTTGCGATTTGGTCAAGGTCCAAGTCGAATTTCCCCACTGGAAATCATGTAAATTAATTGAATCCGTTCCAGACGCGGTACAAGTGAAACAAATTCAACGTCCGGGTTGGTCGAGTTAACAGATGTTCAAGTTAAAAGGTTCTACTGTATTTCCAAAAAGTTACCAAAAGTATAGTGCTTTAGTACTCGGAAGAGGTTTCAGCAGGCGGGACTTCTGAAGAGAGTCGTAAAATGAAGGTATATATTAAAACAACTTTTTAGCCAAGGCGGGAAATTTATGAAGCTTTACAAAACTTGATAGTGTGAAAAAGAAAACTATGTTTTAAAGTGGTCAATACTGTAACGTTATACTGATCACATTTGGCAAAATTGACCAATAGTGGGAAATTCTTATGTTACCCGAGGATGTCTAAAAATATCCTTTGAAAAATAACCCAAATTTTACCCAGATAACCCAAATCATCATAATCAAAACAATCATCCTATCTGAACTAGACTGAAAGGATGCATTTACTAATTTCAGCAGCTAAATGAATGGTACAGTAGGTCTCTAAATATTTTTCATTCAAAAAGAACAGCTGAGATTATAGCCTGCCCTATTAAAAAGTTCACAATATATTCATTTTAAGAATATTTACGTGAAGTTTTTGTACTGTTGATTTTTACCTCAGACTGCCTCCCGCCATTTTCACCAATTTAAATCTCGTGCACTGTAGTTTGCGGCGCCTTTTTTCATTGCTGGTAAAACCGAATATGGCTGAAATGCGTTCCTTCGTCACTATAAATTAGAGAAAAACTTTTCCGTCAATATTTCTAAATTAACTCACTGCAAAATAAATCTACTATGTTTAGCTTGTATTCATCTTCCTTAAACACCGTTTTTTATTCAATGACACTGACTCCATCCAGTTAAATGATTTCCCCTCTCTTTCTGTTATGCTTGTTCTTGTATTAACTGCATTTCTCTGGGTTTGAATGTATTTGGCATACTGTACAAGTAACAATACAAAAAGATTGTAGGTGTGAGCTACAGTATATGGCAGAATTTTTCGTAGTCTTCTCATGTCCGAGATGGGCTCGCACATCCGGTTCTTTTCCGATTGATACTCACGGATCCAATGTAGTGCCAACCTGACAGTTCTGGGATTTCAAACCTAGCTCAGCCAGTACCGCAGGATGAAGGTTGATGCCGTCACTGCTGCCGTGCTGCTTCCGTGACAGGTACGACATCATGAACCTGCAGTACGTGGAGGTCGGTCGCTATCACTACATCAACGTGGGCTCCTGGCACGAGGGCATCCTCAACATCGACGACAGCCGGATCCAGATGAACCGCAGCGGCATCGTCCGCTCTGTCTGCAGCGACCCGTGTTCCAAGGGCCAGATCAAGGTGCGAGGCCGGGCCACGGTTGGGTGGGCAGGGCATGCATGTGTCACTCAAGCTCAGCAGGAATGCTGACTGGGGTACCTGTAGGTACCTACACCACCTGTAGGTGGCGTAGTTGTTAACAAGCTAGATTTACAATCGGGTATGTTCCTTACTGCTGTTGTATCCTTGGAAAAGATACTTAGTTTGATAGCTCCAATGAACTATTAAGCTGTATTTTCACTCAGCATTTAGCTGATGCATTTATCCAAAGTGCCTTACAATTTTACACATTTATATCGGTGGGTATTCAAGTTCCATAGTCATGAGTATTAAACAGTTTAGCAGTTAAGTGCTGTACTCATAAGTATTAAGTAATTCAGTTTATATACGAAACTGATGCTCATTTAAAAATTCAGTGACTCAGAATATGCAGCATACTCATGAGTATTAAGCAGTAGAGCAATTCAGTTTTCAGACTATATACCGTACTCACCACCATACTGACTACTGTGCTCGAAACTACTAAATGTGTAAAACTGTTTAATAAGTCAGCTTAGTAAGCCAAAACATAAAAGCTAGCAATGAAAAATAAAATATGACCATTTGCTGTGAGAGCAAAGGCTCATGGGGGCTTCTGGGGATTGGCTGTCTCCAGGTGATCAGGAAAGGGGAGGTGAGCTGCTGTTGGATCTGCACAACCTGCAAGGACAATGAGATGGTGCAGGACGAGTTCACCTGCAAAGCCTGTGACCTGGGCTGGTGGCCGGACGAGGAGCTGGCGGGTATGCACGTCCCCTCCATCTCCCTCTCTCCCTCTCCCTCTCCACATCTCCCGCTGCACCTCCCTGTTTTCCCTGCTCTCTCACTCCACTGTTGGAACACCAGCAACATACAGTCACCACAGAGGACGTGCTCAGTACCCGTCTGTTCAGGAGCTCAGTGAGTCTGACTGAGGTGTTCACTGATACAGGAGATGTTTTGTGTTACACAGAACCTTGCCCCCCCCCCCTGCCAGATTTTACGTATAATTTATCATTTAAATTTTAAATTTTCAAGGGCCTCTGTCAAGTGCAGGGTATCTGTGCCTCTCTGACATCCATGCTGTGATGAACAAAGAGCCAACAATTTGTTGTGCCTTGAGGATTTAAAATGGCCATTCTCTAAATTCCTGTGATGGAGCCCTAAAGGAAATGCATTCTAACATAACTACAGAAGTATCAAAAATAATTTATGATATATTTATAATCTTGATCCATAATAGGATGTTCCTGCTGCTGAGGTAGTGACATTTTACCCACATTATGAAGCTTCCAAAGCTCTCCCATCACCTCCCTTTCCAAAAGTGCGGAATCTGAAGGCTTTCCTCAGTCCTCTTCCACTTAAAGTTCACACCTGAAATAGACCTGAATCTGTCTAAAAGGTTCAAGTGTGAGGTTAATGGCTGCTCAGGATTAGTCAGCTCCGGAAGCTAGTCACCTGTATCTCCCCCGTCCTCCAGTGTTCTGGCTGCAGTCTCCTTAGTGGCCGTCACATCCGAGGCAGGAAGCTTCTGGTCCATGTGCTCCAGCTGGACAGAGTTTCGTGGGTTTACTCTGTGAGGTTAAATGGCCCAGCTGTGGGATGGCGGCAGGATGGGAGTAAGAGAATGGGCCCAGATTCCAGAGTGCTGCTTTTCTCTGTGTGCGTGTGACTCCACGGTGCTGTTAGGATCCCCCACCCCAGGCACACTGTCAAATGTGTCTGTTTTAAACAGGGCAGTCAGGTTGCATTAAGCATTGCATTGCCCCCCGCCCCCCCTCCCCACTTCACGAGCCTGTCAGGGAGCATCCGTGGCTTGCTGGGCACCCCCAGGCCCCTTGAGAAGCCGCTCCTCTCTATGTGCCTCACCCGGGCTGTCTCCACGCTCCACGACACGCCGGCCCGCGCGTCTCTCCTAATTAAATCAAATCGCTATGGCGACAGAAAGTGCCGGGGAGTTTATTAGGTGTCGTTGTGGAGCCTGGCTTCTTCTTGGCTACGCGGGCGGCTCCCTGCAGTCAGTGTTATCAAGTGGCCACGTCGGATGGATACCGTTGCTTTCTGTCGCCGGATCATTGCGGAACTGTAGGGCCTTGTCCCGCATGAGACGTGCTCGGGCCAGAATGACTGTCCCCCCAATAACAACACGGAACCCGGTGGTAGTTGCCTTTTCGGGCCTGATAAACATTGGATTTATGAATGAGCGTCTGTTCCCGTAATGGACATGCGTCCCATCCTGGACACACCTTGCTGTATATGCTGTTTTTCTGGGATGGACTCCAGATTAGAGCAACTCTAATTGGATGGACAGATGGACAGATGGATGGATCATATGACTATGGGTATTACCACATATTTCATTCACAACATGCTCACAGAACGTGTATAAATATAATATCCATCCGTCCATTTTCTGTGACTGCTTATCCTACTCAAGGTCACGGGGGTCCCAGAGTCTATCCTAGAGGCTACGGGTGCGAGGCAGTGAACACCCCAGGATGGGGTGCCAACCCATCACAGTATAAATATATCATTCATAGCCCAAAGGAGGTTTTCTGGAGATACTTCTTTATTTTGTTAATGTTGTTATTGTTGTTGTTTTATCCATCCATCCATCCATCCATCCGTCTTCCCTATCTGCTTATTCAGTGCGGGGTCATGATGCTGTTGTTGTCATAGATGATTACAAACATTTGATTTATATACAATAGCTCTTCCTTGTCTCAGTGGGATGCCGCCTGTGTCTGTACTCATGTCTTTATCAGAGAAATCTTTTGTCACTATTTAATGGGGCTTCATCCAAATCTCCTCCCACTGCAGAGCTGGTTCATCTAGCAGTTTGTTCAGTTTGTTTTATACTGAAAGAAGGCATTATGATCCCTCTTATTCGCTGATGTAGTGACATGGGTCAGTAATGACCCAAGTATTAGGCCCTGGATTCAGTACTTGGTATCTTCAGTTGAAGTTACTTGTGGTGCCTGCTGCAGTTTCTGCCGACTTCCTTCCTCCCCCAGGGGTGAGTAGATGCAGAGTGTGTTTTGCTCTGTCGGTATACATTACCCAGCTGCTGTGTGGTGTGCAACTTTGCAGGTCTACAGTCTATATTTGTGTCGGCTGGTTCAAATCCCATGGCCAGAAGACTAATACCTTAACACTGTTGGGCCCTTGACCCCACGTTCTGACTCCAAGCTTATTGTCACCTATGTGTTTATATCTCATAGGAGAGCAAGATGAGATTTGTGAAGATTCAACATTGTTCTTGCTACGTGTACAATGACATTAAATGCTCAACTTGCTTAGGTATTGGGTAATGGCCGTCAGCGTGCTCACTGATGTGCCTTTGATCTCTGCAGGGGGATTAGCAGTTGGACCCTGGAATTAGCTCTGTTTAATGCTTTCTTTTTTGCGCGAGCGGAGTCAGGGTCTAGCACTGACCTCCAGCCCAACAATTCTGCTTGTTTCCAGGTTCGGCCTGGAAGCCACCTCCTGCGCAGACATCTTGGTGTCAATAATTTTTAGTTTTATATATACTTGCTTATTGTGCCCATCCTGAAGAAGTTTCCCCACAATGCCAAACAGAGATTTTACAGAAAGAACAACATAGACATGGACATAGCATCATTTAAAGTTACACAGTATTATATAAAAAAATAAACCTACTTGTGCACACTAATGGGGTGGTGTGTGGTTCTCTGGGATAGGTCGCTGTTCTCGTGATCAGAAGGTTGGTTGTTCAAATCCCGTGGTTGGCAGAGTGCTATTACCCTTGAACCCTTGAGTAAGGTGCTTAACCCCAATTTCTCCTGTCACTGGCTGACCCTGTTTTCTCAATTGTAAGCAGCTGCTTAGTACATAAACGTCAGTTTAACCCTACAAGTCGGAAACCGGCATGTTCACTCTCTGGTAGCTGAAAGTGGTCCCTCCATTCGGGCAGCTGGTGACAGTCAGTGGGTCAGTCGGGGCTGTGGTCCCAGAAGCCCAGGCTTTGTTGGTGTTATCCCCAGGCACAGACAAATAGGGTCAGGGTGCTGTACGTGGAGATGTTAACAAATGCATCAAGCACCGGTGCAGTTATTTAAGGTACAGTAAGTTAGACGAAAATAGGCTACGTTACACTCACTGGACTGGAATAGTAGGTCTTCAGTCTGGATTTAAATGCTGAGACTGGGGGGGGGGGGATCCCTGACTTTAGCTGGCATCATTTCCATAAACAAGGAGCCCTATAGCCAAGGGCTTTCCCACCAATAGATCTTATTTAACTGAGAAACTACCTGGAGGCTTGAGTCCAGGAAAACTGGGAGTGGCTTCTGAATAATACACATTAGTCTCCTTTAGATAAACAGGAACCTGACCTTTCAGAGCCGTATAAGTGAGGAGAGGAATTACAGTACGAAGTCAGTACTGAACGTAACAGCCAGTGAAGGGGCAGTGAATGGGTGCTGTGTGCCCGACATCTGAAGGTCGTTGGTTCTAATCCTGTGGCTGACAGAGTAATCTTATCACTCTTTAGCCCTTAAGCAAGGCTCTTAACCCTGAATACAGCTCCGGGGTACCAGATAAATGGCTAACCCAGTGTGCTGATCCTCTGTGTGTCTCATAGAGGAGTAAGATAGGATACGTGAAAATGAATGAATTCCTAAGTACCTGCACTTGTTCAAATGCAAATAATGTATCACTATATAGTTACTGTAGCTCAATAAGTAGAGTAACGTGCTTGCAATACACAGGTCATGGCTTTAAATCCCAGAGAACATGCATAAATTATAACTCTTCCCTATAGCTGTGGATAAAAACGGCAGATAAATTAATTCAAGCTAAGATGTGTGACTCTTTCCAATCTGCTTCTAATATGTTAACATTCCCGTTACTTGAAAAGTAAGAAATTGCCCTCATTGTGCAGTTTTTTTATGCTGTACGATGTGTATCTTGGATAAGGAGTTAAAGGTCAGGTCTGTGTTAAAATGGCACCTAAGAGTCAGACTTATTCTGAAAAACAAACTTTTTAAAGTTAAAATCAAATAATGAGAAAATACCTATGAATAAAAGAACTTCAGTTCAGGGTTTGGAAGCAATTTTGAATCATCCACTCCTTTTTTACTCCATTGGAACAGCTCTCTAAGGAGATTGTGGGCAGAGTGTCATTAGCTGTCATTGAAATGTACAACTGAGTGTCAGCATATGAATCAAAATTAATTTTACAGCATATAGAGAGAGGACAATACTAAATAGCAAACCCTGTGAGATTCCATATTTGACAGATGAAAACGGTGACCCAGTACAGCTAATTGATTTCTGAATATGACGATCTACTCATTTTCCATAACCGTTTGACCTACTGTATGCAGGGTCAAGGTGAGTCTATCCCTGGAAGCAGAGAGCAGGACACACCCTGGATGGGATGCCAGTCTATCACAGGGTACAGGGCTGGGGGACACCCTGGGTGGGATGCCAGTCTATCACAGGGTACAGGGCTGGGGGACACCCTGGG